AATATTAGTTCCTAATTAGGACTCCTAAATATATAAATAGGGGACTTAAGAGGCACCTAGAACCCCCCACCACAATAAACGACTCACCATCCCAAAAGAGCTCCAAGAATTCCCTTAGAAGAAATCAAGAAAGCAAGAAAGCTTAAAGAAAGACCCTTCATAGCCAAGGAATTAATTAAGGCTAAGAGGTAACCCATGTCTCAACAAAACCTATTTTCATAGCTATGATTCCCCCTTAGGGTTTCCCCCATATTATTGTGTATTGGCGAGATATGACGATTATTATTGATGTTTGATGTGATGATCCCATGAGGGATCTTGATAATCTTGATATTGGGAGATTCTTGATAATTATGGTGTTCTTGGTAATTATATGGAGTTCTTGATGATTATGTGTTGTTCTTGATGATTATGTGATGCTCTTGATGTTTATGTGTTATTCTTACCGAATCTTGCAATTAGAAGACGAACCGTATTCTTGTTGATATAAAAGTGATTAGAACCCTAGGTTGTATCGTATGATCTTATTCTTGGATTATCGGGTGGGGAAATCACATGTTTGGGTGTTGATTATATTTAGAAAAGCATGATAGGTTATGTGCCGTTCGTTTCTTGTATTTGATTCGTTAATTGTCTACGTGTTGTCATTAATTGCGTTGTAAAGTGTCTAAGCATGGTTTCGGGTTCCACAACGGTTCCCGGGGCGTAAAGTGTGTGAAAAGAGTCAGTGGGGGGTAGGGGACCCGCCACCTACCCACGGCCGTGAAACACCGCCCGGCAGCGGGTGGCCGGCGGGCGGGCAGCTGCCCGCCGGCGACCCGCTGCCCGGAACAGTATTATCCGGCGGGTGGCCCCCACCCACCGGCTACCCGCTGGAAATTCATCCCACCCGGGATCCCGGCTTCCCCGTTTGATGTTCCCCCGTTCCCCGTGGTGTCCCAACGGACTCCGTTTATCGTGCCTATGTCTAGTTTGATATTTCGGGTACCGTTCGTAGGTTTATGAGTCTATTATATTGCATGCTAGTTGAATTGGTACCCCATTGACCTAGGTGGTAGAAGCATGAATCCCTTAGGACTATTCTTAGTATGTGATGGATCACGCATAGGTTTTGTTATACGTTTTCTCCCCCTTCCTAATGTGTAATGTGGGTTGCATGTGCTTGCTATGTGTTATGTGTGTGTGTTACCCCAATTCGGTTGCGATCGGATTGGTTATCCTGAGCTGCGGTTCAGAAGCTGGCTGCGGTCAGATTGATACTCTTGGGCTGCGGTCCACCGTTTGGTTGCGATCAAACGTTTCTATACGAGCTGCGGTTCGTCCTCTTTCCTGGCTGCGGTCAGATGACATTCTCTTGGGCTGCGGTCCACTGTTTGGTTGCGATCAAACACTATGATGAGCTGCGGTTCATCGGTCGGTTGCGATCGACCCCTCCGTGTTGCGATACGGGGCAGGGTGCTGCGGGGCCGTGTCAGAGCTATATGCGCTGACCCTCATGTATGGGCATGCGATTGGTCCTGTGGCGCCAACAAAGTGTGTTATGTGTTGTGATGTGGATGAGTTGTGATTAATGAGTGTCTTGAAGGTTGTGACTATGGGTTTTATGTTGGGGACTGTTTACGTTGGGTTGTGGCTATTGTTTATGCTTTGCCCTATCTGCTTTGTCTGTTGTGAACTGCATATGCTTGTTATAACTGTTGCTTGTGCCTGGCCTTATCTGTCGAGTCATTCCCGGTTTTAAAGCTAGAGTTCGTAGGATATATCTTCATGCTCAAAATAGTTTTCGTATATCTATATATATCTCTATATGTATTGTATTTCAACGCGTTGGAGTGGGTTACCAGCATCTCTCGCTGAACAGATATATTTGGCTTTCAGGCACAGAAGATCAAGTCACTGGAGTGCGCTAGAACTTAGAAGTAGATAGTTTCCCTTTTGGCCTGCGTGCCACGTTTACGTATTTACGCTTTGAGGATATTAGTTAGTTAGCCTGTGCACTTGGGTTCTCTAGCCCAGGTGTGGCATAGCACCCCGAACGCTTGTATTTATATCTTGGGATTTAATAAGATTCTACCTTTATTATAAGTTTTAAATGTCTTGAAAATCTGGGGTGTTACAAGAGTGGTGGAAGCATTGATGAAAAAATATGATGTTACTCACGGTGTTTCTACAGGTTACCATCCACAAAGCAATGGACAGGCAGAAATCTCAAACAAAGAAATTAAGTCCATACTAGAGAAGACTGTTAACCCCGAACAGGAAAGATTGGAGTACACGACTTGATGATGCTTTATGGGCTTATCGAACGGCCTACAAAACTCCAATAGTTATGTCTCCTTATCATTTAGTATTTTGGTAAACCGTGTCATCTTCCTGTTGAGTGGGAACACAAGGCTTATTGGGCTGTTAAGCAATGTAACATGAGGATGGATGAATCTGGTGAGTTGAGAAAGTTGCAGCTGCAAGAGCTTGAAGAAATTCGTAATGATGCATACGAAAGCTCTAGAATTTACAAGGAAAAAACAAAAGCATTTCATGATCAAAAGATTTCTAGGAAGAATTTTGTTATTGGTCAGAAAGTTTTACTTTATCATTCTAGATTGAAACTTTTTCTTGGTAAATTGCGTTCTAGATGGGTAGGACCTTTTGTTGTCAGTAATGTTTTTCCTCATGGTGCAGTTGAGATACACAGTTTAGAGACCAGAAAAGTTTTTAAAGTTAATGGACATCATTTAAAGCCATTGTATGAAGGTTTTCAGGCATACAATGTTGAAGAAATTAGTCTGCAGTGCCCAGTTTATGAAGGTTGAAAAGAGATGATCACCAACAAATGACATGCTACTTATGACAAGGGGAATTTGTTCCATTCTTTATTGTTTACGTGCATTAATTTTAAATTCTATTTAACATTTGGGACAATGTTAAGAATAAGTGTGGGGAGGGGATTTAACTATTTTTCATTATTTGATTTTCCCCCCTTCAAAAAAATTAAAAATTTCAAAAAAATATAGTATTTTTATTAGAATTCATAACATAATTGAATAATTGGTCTTGCATATTATGACTATTTAGTTTAGTATTTTGTTTGATATGGTGGTGGCTAAACTAAGCAAGCATGAACCTGTGAGATTTTGAGCCTTAGACTGACACTTCAGTCCAATTGTTTTGTTCTTGTGTGATATCTTCCATGGATTTGTATCTCTAGAACTTGCCTTGATTCTCTTAAAAGCTAATTTGATGCATGCATGATTTTAATATGATTAAGGCCATCTTTGATTTCTAGCCTCACTAGCCAAATAACCTATTCATACCATGATTGATTTATCCTTTGTTAGCCACTTTGAGCCTTTTTAACCGTGTTTTTTGCTATGGAACCACATTATAAGCCTCATACCTGAAATTGATTTCCTTAAACTTGCCTAAAGGACTAGGGGAGCTTTGATTGGGTAAATGCATAAAGAGTGAGTGTGGGGAAAGATGTTTGGCGAAATGTCTATTAGTGGAAATAATGACTTTGTCATTTTATGAGCTTTTTGGTTGGTATTTTTGAAAAGAAGAAAAAAAAGAGAAAAAAATAGTAGAATAAAGAAATTGAAGAGTGCATGGGTGATGAACAAAGTGTATGTTGCTTGTTATTGAAGCAGAAATGAAGGAAAATTATATATAATGATTCTTCAAAAATGAAAAAGAATCAAAAGAAAATGAAAAGAAAAGAAAAAAGAGAAAAAGTGACAGTACAAAAGAGAAAAAGGAAAAAAAAAAAAAGAGAATTATTATTATTTTGTTATTATTATTATTTTTCATGTTGAATAGAGTATGATTTGTTTATGATTTTATGGGGATGTGATTTTTATCAAAACAACAAGAGAGATTTGGTTCACTTGATCTTTATTTTGAATTATTAGTTCATTCAATCATGCTCCTCTAAGTTTTTAAGGCTTTTTGAACTATTTCCTAAATGATTCCTACCCTTTACCCTAGCCCCATTACAACCATGAAAAAGTCCCTATGATTTGATCATGCATGTTATCTTGTAGTGGAGAATGAGAAGATATGCAAGCCTATGGTAGAGCATTTCTATAGGAATTGATTTGAGTGAAATTTATACATGCACCCTTCAAACACTTTTGAGTGATGAGTGATATTTCCGTGAGGGCTTGGTTATTTAGTTTACTCATTATCTAATAAACTGCTAGCTAGTTATTTATAATGTGTTTGAGACCAATGTTCATGAAATGTTATGAGTTTTTATATTTATATTTTTCTTAAATAATGTTTTTGCTTGAGGACAAGCAAATGATTAGTGTGGGGAATTTTGATGAGTACGATTTATATATTTAATTTAGATTATTTTTTATAATAAATCAGTTTAATTTATTTAATAATCTATTTATTTTGAACTTTATTTTATGTTTTGCACTAATATAATATTAGTTGAATAATTAGGCTTAATCAACAAATTAAAAAGTGTTGGGCTTAATTAGTTTATGAAAAAATTAAATAGGCTAAGTAGTTATTTGGCCAACTAAAATGAAGCCCAAATCCTATAAACTAATTATCTTTTCTTTTAGGTGAATTATGTGCGCAAGAAATAAGACCAGAGAACATCTTCAACGGCGTGACTTGTTCTGCGATTTCTCCGTGAATTTATGCTACGTACGTAGAGAGCAAACGACGACTCCGCTGCGATGAAGACGAACTGCACGCTCCGTTCGTAAACTGCCGTCGACTCTTTCTGTGGCTTCTTCGAATTGTGGTCTGCTGCTGTACGGACAAATTAATTGAATTAGAGGTTGGAGCTTGTTCTACTGATTTTCTATGGTTTCTTAGAAATTAAGAAAATAAAGATTATTTATTTTCTAGGTTCTATGTGGTTGAAGAAATTGTTTTATTTTGTGGATGTTAGGGAAATTAGGGTTATTTTGAGCTGATTAGGGAGCCTGAACTAGTATAAATAGGGATGAATTTTGCAGTATAATATAGTCAGTTTTTTTTTTTTCAGAATCACTTTATTTTACTGTAAACACTCTCTGCAATGTACTGCTGAGTTCGAATTTTCCAATTCAAGGATTATTGAAGTTTGATTCTACAAGACCAGTGAGATTTATTTAGCTTAATTTTATTCTCTGCACTTTATTATTTATATATCTCCTGTTATCTGAGTTTAAATTATTGTTTGATTAATTGTTGCAAAGGGCCATTGTTCAATTGTCAAGTTATTATATTGCTAATTAGAACTTTGAATCCGTAATTGTTTAAGTGTTCTAAAGCTAGTAGCAATAACCTAGTTGATTATATATTAGATTTTCAATCTTATGTTATGAAGATATATAGTCTAGTTTAAATGAACCATGCTTTTGAGTTTGTTGGCTAGAATTGGTAATCTCTCTAATTCTTTTAATGTTGTTAGTAAACTAAATCCTAAGAGCCTGTTTAGGATTGTTTATTAGTTAGGGAAGTAATCAAATAGCTTGTTTTGATTATCGACAAAGTAAGGAAAGATAGATTATTAGAGCTTGTTAATAACCATAACCAATTTGGTAAAGAGTAGAGTAATTTATTTTTGGAAATCAATGATCTGTCTTGTTAGAATTGAATTATATTATTCCTTGAGTTGGATACTAGTTGATATTGATTATTTAATATTTTGTATTGTTTGCCTTTTTATTGTTGCTATTTAATTTTCAATTTCCATCTCATTCTTTATTGAATCTTTGATTAAAAATAAGTCTGACCAATCTCTGTGGGTACGACCTTACTCATCACTATTGCAAATTATAGAGTAAGTAATTTATTATTTGTTGGTTTCGACACCCATCAAGTATATTAATGATATTTTTCTAAATGATCACTCCCACTGATTAAGATATTCTTCAGCGAAATTAATAAAGTGAACTTAATAATATACATACTCATAATTGATTTGACCAACTAACAAATGAAGACATAATTCCTCACCATTAGTTGGACATACTAAATAATCAATTTTTTGTTCCAATTAAAGTCCAACTAAATAATGAAGATATGTTTCCCCACCATAGTTGGACATACTAAAAAAACAAAATACGTCTTCCAAAACCAAGTTAGAATTTGGCTCAAAAGATACATTTTAGTATTATTGGAATCCAAAATATGTATATGTCAAATCACGTAACTTACTACAGTTAGTCCGAAGAACCGAGCAAGATTCGTGGATTAATTAATAGAAGTGGCTAAATTTTGGGAAGTGACTGAAAACATGTTTTGCCAATGCAAACCATGAACCTTAGAATTATAATTGAGCTAAATTTATAAATTCTAAGAAATTGTGATAAAATTATCATCTAATGGGTTGAGGGATTTATTGACATAAAACTTGCATGTGGGCTAAAGTTTTAATTCTATTAAATCCAATTAAGAAACCCTTATGATAATATTTTTCACAATTACTAAAGAGCCAGAAGAATCTAGTTACACAAAACTTGCCTGTGGGCTAAAGTTTTACTCAATTAGACCCAACTGAAAAATTTATTTATGATGAAACCATTATCAAATGAGTTGAAGAATCAAATGACATAAAACTTGCGTGTAGGCTAAAGTTTTACTCAATAAGATTCATTACAACCATTATGATAAAAAAAACTTAAGAGATCATGTTTATTTTCTTAATCCCTTTGGGCAAATTAAGAAATATGATCTAAAGTTTACATCATAAAATTAAACTTCATGATAGAATTGGAAATTATTTACAAATAACCATAAAGTAAATAAATTGATTTATTTCTCGTCACTGATAAAACTACTAAACTACATTCCGATACATAATTGTCTGTGGGCAAAATTATGACTGTAGTACAGTATTTCATCCTGATTAATTATACAAATATAACGAAATTGCCTGTGGGCTAAATTTCATCATATTACATACAATTAATCACAAATGATATGTCCAAAACTTTATGTGATCAAAATAAACCGCTTAATATATAATTTTAACAGATTTAGGATGCTGTGGCTACTCCCAAACCAAATTAAAATTATAAGATCACTAGACAATTATCAAATCCTTGCCTAAACTTTATGTGATTAAAACTTAATAATCTGAGGTAGCTGAATATGCTATAGCTATTCCTTAATTAACCAAGATTGAAAACATAAAAGACTTCAGTAAATTAAAGATGCTTTGGCTATTCTTTAACGAACCGAAATAAAATCACATTGGCAAGGAATACTTAAAATTTTGGCAAACAGATTATACCAAATTGTGATGGGAAAATCTAAATATACTCTAAGGAAAGGCGGTTAGAGACAAAGTCTCACTGAAAACCAATTCCTTAAATGGAGTATCAATTTAAGGAGACTCGTAGCTCAAGATGTCCTTAACTCATGGCCATTAAAACTAGTATGTCTCCTCGATTCATATATACTTAATGTATAACTGTTTGGGGTTATGAACCTAAAACTGTAGGGTATACACCAAAAACTGTAGGGTTCACCTATGATTAAAGCTTAAATGGTGAACTAAAAATAGGGGACTAAACGTGTTTAAATTCAGGCACTACCACGACTAAAGTTTATGCATAAGTCCAACTTAAATAGGAACTAATATAATTCCATCTCAAAGTATGCATTGCTAAAGGCATAATAAAATTGCATAATTTAAAACATAATATGATGCCTAGGACGAATATGCATAAAATTAAACATTAAACTCATATATTTCAAATAAATTGCATAACTTAAAGCAATTTACAATATGAGATTTCAAAGTATAAACTTAATAAACTCAAGCTCATGACAAAATGTTTTAATGCATAAAGATCAAATTTATGAGAAATAGCTGAATTTACAAATTCAAACAATATCAAACCAAAAGGATATGCTATCATTTGTAAATCAAAATCTCACAAACTCTAATTGCATAATTAAACTTAATATTATGCATTTAATATGATCGAATGCATAAAATAATCTAAAGAGTATGAACCAACTAAAGAATATGAATTTACACCAAATATTTATATATTCATACTTAACCAAATATGGGCAATCAGATCTAAAATCATAATTCAAAGAACTAAATGAATTATGAAATTAATGGCAAAAGTCAATTGCCTAGAAAATATGTTTTTCCAAAATTACTAAATTGATTCAAAATCATTCTCCATAACTTAGTTAATAATATTATTATTATTAATGACAAAATTACAAATAACCAAAATAGCAATAAATAGCCATAATATTATTATCACATTTTGTAGGAGACTAAATATGAAAAAACAATGGTCAAAATCGCTAACATTTATAAATATTTTCGGATAAAATTTTGAAAACTTAATAACATTTGAAGTCCGAAAAATATTAATGTTAAGAAAATTATTTTCTGTACTAGAATATTGTCACATAAATTTATTTGGAAACAATTTAAGATACATATCTGAATACCATAACAATATTAATGTTATCATTAATTAATTATTAATAGCAATAAGTAACATTATAATCACTATTAACATTAGTAATGACAAACTAAAGTATGGTAATGCACTTTTAATGTTTCCATTTTTCTAAAGATAAAATATGTGACTAGTTCAAATTAGCGGTTAACCGTAACTGTAGCACTAATTATCAATAACAACCATAAAAGATAATTAATGGCTAACCTTAATGATTCAAACGACATCTCCTCATTGCGCTAACAACGATGACGATCCATAAGAGAAGAAGAACTCCAGAATTCTCCCATCTTCACTGTCGGTGTCAGTAGCCTCGATGTAGCGTCCAATGGTACATTTAAAAATTTTATTGGTAGGACTTAATTACCAACATTAATAGTCATGTAAAATGAAGTGGTAATCATACCAATGTACCAAATATAGTAGATTACCATGAAATAGTAATTATTATGAAGAGCTAATAAATGAGATTAGCCCCTAAACTTAATAACAGTAATTAATAATGCCGAATTTAATTTAAAAGTGGCAAAACTGTAATTAAGGGATGCTAAATACTAATCTCAATTTTACCACATAATAATTAATTATGACTATTATGATACTTAGGGAGACTAAAGTTAGGTAATAACCAAATTACCATTATTCTGACAATATACCAACTATATTGCTTTTGTCATAAATTAAAGACTTAATATTATTATTAAGGCCCTGAAAACTATTGATAGATTAAAAATTTAATCAACTTAAACAATAGTTGTAGTTCTTAATGGCCAAAAAAACAATGAAATCCTTAATGTCTTTAAACAGGCCAAGACAATAATTATAGCACTTAATCACTCAAATTAGGCTCATAAACCTCAATGACCCAAGTGAATTATGGCATGGATGAAAATGGTCTAATACTGAAGTAGACTCAAAACTTAATATTATTACCAACGATGAATACCAAAATATGGTAGTTAGTAATAATTAAAACTTAATAAACATGTTACAATTAAAAAAGAGCTACAATTATCATTAAAATATCAATCAAACTGGTGGGATCCATACTTTAATGACCCAAGATAGGTCCCGAATAGCTTGTTCAAAATAGGTTCTAAAGTTCCAGAGACACATAAAACTAAAATGTGATCAAAATTAAGAGGAAACCAAAACAAGCTACCTTAATAGGCCTACATAGCATGCTTTGATTTTGCATATAAATATATTATTAACTATAAATTGTAAAACTTGATACAATTAAATTTGCACCTTAACATTAAATTAAAATTCAAACAGCAAATTTAAAACTTAAGATTTGCCCTAAATTGAATAATAACTTAATAATGAATGAATTCAATTGGATGATTAGTTAGAAGAAATCCAAATATGATGGAGAAAAAACTGAAGTAAGACCCAATAACTTTAGAGGCCTTTTTAAAAAAAATTTGTATATACAAGATCCAGGTCTGGCCGAATGGGCCAGACCTGGCCCATACAATATAACCCATCATCTTCCTCATCTCTAATCAGCAATGCCAAACCCTAGCAGCCATGAGAGACTTCATAAGCTGAGAGAGAACAGCAGCCCGGAGCCGGCGCCGCCTGGAGGAAGAGAGAGAGCAATGACGTCGCCGCCGCAGTTTCTCCTCTTCGCTGCGCCAACATCCGCCGCCGTCCTCACCGCGAAGCCACCGGAATACTCTCGTCGTCGACTGGAGGTTGAGGGGCAGCGACAAGCCGTCGCCAGCGTCGCCTGAATGAGGAGGAAGCAGGACGTTGTCGGGAAAGCCAGCCCCGTCATCGCCTTCTCTCCTGGTCGCAACGTCAGCCTCACCATCGTCGTCTTAGACACCAAGTTGCGACGACCACGCTTGGCTCAACAGCATCACCATGGTAGCCGAAAAACTGAAGGATTTTTTTTTAAATCAGTCGCAGGTAGAAAAGAAGTCCGGCGAACCAAAGGCCGGCAATTCTCGATGAAGGCAGTGGCTCGTCTTACAGATTCAATAATTCACTCAATCATGTGGCTTATTTTGAATCAGTGGCTAATTCACTCACTCAACCAAAGGCCGGCAAACTGGAAGTGTAACACCCTTAAAATTTAAAACTTTGAATGCTTATGAAATAAAGGCAATACTATTATTAAAACCCGAAACAGAGCATAACTAACATAAGTGTTTGGGGTGCTATGCCACATCTGAACTGAAGAACTCAGATGCACAGGCTATACTATCTAAACATCCTCAAAACAGTGTCAATACATCATCATGGCACGCAGGCCGATAAGGAAACTAACTAAGCTTCGGGTCCTCTAGCGCGCTACGGAGCTACTCATTTGTACCTGGAAGCCAAATATATCTGTTCAGCGAATAATGCTGGTAACCCACTCTAACACGTTAAAATACAATATAGGAAGACATATATATATATATATATATATATATATATATATATATATATATATATATATATATATATATATATATATATATATATATATATATATATATATATATATATATATAAATAAGGAAAACCATTTTGAAGCCGGAAGATATATATACTTATGAAACTCTAATTTAAAACCGAGAATATACTCAACAAGTAAGGGTAAGCATATTCAGCAGTTATAGTCACGCATATCAAGATACTAGCATACACCCTAAGGTCACAAGATTATTTCACATCAAACATATCAGTATTCAATCATTATCTCAACACATAAACACATTTGGTGGTGCCGCAGGACCCTTCACGCGCCCATACACGAAGCTCCAGCGCATATAGCTCTGGCATGGCCCCGAAGCACCCTGCCTGTACCGCAGCACAAGGAGATTGATCGCAACCAATCGATGAATCGCAGCTCATCTAGTAACGTTTGATCACAACCAGACGGTGGACCGCAGCCCGAATAGTGTGTATTTCTGATCGCAACCAGATTGATGAACCGCAGCTCATTTATAACGTTTGATCGCAACAAAACGGTGGACCGCAGCCCTATATATATATATATATATATATATATATATATATATATATATATATATATATATATATATATATATATATATATTTATATTTATATACCTGACCGATCGCAACCGACATGGTTAACAACCGATGGTTCTCAACCCATCCAACTGCCTGTATAGCCAATTGATCGCAACCAATTGGAGTATCATGCACACATAACACATAGCCAAGCACATGCAACCCACATTAACACATAGGGAGGGGGAAAACATATATATAAAACTTAAGCGTGGTCAACCACATTACTAGAGATATGCCTAAGGGGTTTATACATCTTTCCCTAGGCCGACAGGATACCAATTCGACTAGCATGCAATATATAAGAATCTATTATCCTACGAACGGTACCCGAAACATCAAACTAGACTCAGGCACGACAAACGGGTTCCAATGGGACACCACGGGACACGGAGAAACATCAAACGGGGAAAACCACCATATTCCACTTGGAATTTCCAGCGGGTAGCCAACGGGTGGAGGACCACCAGCCTGCTGCCCGCCGACAGCGCAACACTGGGCAGCGGGTGCCCGGCGAACAGTCGCCTGCCCGCCGGCTGCCCGCTGCCGGCGGCCTTGTTGAGGCAGCGGGTAGGTGGCAGGTACCCCTGCCCCCACCTACCCCCACTGACTCTTTTGTAATAAATTGGTCCCGGGATCCCTCGTGGAACCCGAAACCATGTCCAGACACATCTGGACACAAACGACGACACCACGTAATCAAGTAATGGATTAAGATCAAGAATCACATTAAATACATCCTAACTTGACTTCTAAACATAATCAAGACTCAATACCTGAACATGAAAAATCCCGCCCAAACATACCAAGAATATCACAATACGAAATCCACGATTTAACCCTAGGGCTCTAGTCATATTAAAATCAAGAACATCAAGATTACCAAGATCAACACATAAATATCAAGATCACCTTATAGACATCAAGATTATCTCATAATCATCATAAAAAGCCTTATCAAGACACAAGTATCGAATTGCATATCAAAGAAGCCAAGGAAGAAGATTATAGCAAGGAAAATAGGTTTTGTTGAGACATGAGTTACCTCTTAGCCTTAATTAGAATCCTTGGCTACTAAGGTTCTTTCTCTAAGATCTCCTCTTCTTGATTTCTCCTACGTTTGGTGATATGGGGAATTCTTGGGAATTCTTGTGTGGTGGAATCTATTGTGGTGTGAAGTCTAGGTGCCTCCTATGTCCTTATATGTATATCTAAGAGTCCTAATTAGGGTCTGAGTGGTAGGGATTTACTTATTCTATTCCTTATAGGACTAAGGATTTGGTTTAGGGATAAGGGTCCATGGTCTATGGTGGACCCTTTCGTAATTAATTAAGGGAATTCAATCCCCTTTTGAAGGGTAAGTTATTAAATAATTAGTTTAGGTTAGAGGCCATAACACGGGGTGTTACACCCTCCCCCCCTTACAAGAGGCTTCGTCCCCAAAGCCTGTGCGTGGATCCATTCTTTCACACATAGACATCACGTATTTGGCCTCCTGATTTTAGGAAATGTGGCTCCACGTGTCGCTTGCTGGGGGTAGAGTGGAACTTGGTGAGGTGGTGTTTGGAAGGTTTTGGTCTACCTTGGTTTCCTGCTCCCGAGCTAGATGCCCCGCGTGTGCCCAACATGGCCTCGATTGCCGCCACTCTCCGATCTAATGAGCGTGTTGCGAGGATTAGGGATGAGAACCCTTCATCCTTGATTCGGTTCTGCCGAGTGAGTTGCGCGAGGATGCGCTCATTGACGGATCTTTCGTCTTGGCCTTCCGGATTCCCTCTTTCTTGTGCAGGTGCAGGTAGGTTTGGCTCGCTATCTTCTTCCTGTTCTTCATGTTCCCCACATTCCTGCATTGCCCGTCTCAGTTTCTTGTTGGATATTTCCAACTGGTCAACCAACTCTCGCCGTTCTTCTGTGGGCTTCAAGCAAACCTCCTCGAGGGTGATGTACTGTCCCTCTCCGATATGGTAGATGTCATTGCGGCGGAGGTTCTGGGTATTGAAAACCATTCCACTTACTGGTTTGGTTTCCATGTGGCTTTGGTCCACCCCTTTTCTTTCCATGATCCAACTTAGGATCATCCCGTAGGGTAAGCTGAGCCGGTTGCTAGACTTGCAGAATTCCATGTGTTTCAACATAAGGGCGGGTAGGTTGAACTTGACCTTATGCTTAAGGAAATAGGCAAAGGTGCCCTCTAAGTGTAACACCCCTTAAAACCACGCTATTTAAAGCCTTAAAACATGCAAATAACTTAAACCAAAACACTAAACACAGCGGAATACTGAAAGAGAAGATATATATAAAACGAGGGAACGGGGTGCTATGCCACGCTCACCCAGGGGTGAACGCACATGCTAAATCTGCATTGTTTAAATCTACAACCATCCAACAGAGTACTACGTCTATATTGGCTCACAGGCTACAAAACACAAAGGGGAAATTATGCTAGCTGGCACTAGACCGCGCACTCGTCTAAGCATCACCTGAAAGAAGCATATAAAACATGGGACGACGCCCGGTCAGCGAAATATCATACATAGGTAAGATATAAGTTTGTAAAACCATTTTCGAAATGGAATATATATATAAGTCAAAAACCAAGAGTAATAGTCAACACAAGACTCAACACTCTCAACAAGAACACGGGAACACATCCCAAGACTACAAAGAACAACAACGACTCACAAGAAGTCCCAAGGTACAATCTATCATCACTCAATAGATTAATACCCGACATGCATAACTCAAAGGAATAAAGACACAACAAACGGCAACACATGCCAAGGCAACACATGCCTTTGTGACTACACACGTCACAAGAAGAGAACTCACAACAACGGCTACACAAGCC